GCTAATGGACAGTCGTACTGACACATGAATTAATAACTGGGAATTTAAATGGGTCAGGGATCCAGGAGCAAATGGGTATGTACAGTCTCTCTGCCTGGGAGCAACACAGCCCCGTTGGAGCGTTGGTGTCACCTTCGTGTTGTGCTGACGTGTGTTGGAGAACCGCTCCGATGAGCAGGACAGAGCCGCGTTTCATGGCTCGCTTCTGATGGGCTCGGGCATCTGTATGGTCCCGTTTGTTTTCCATCTTCCTGAGAGCATTGATGTTCTAGAGATAACGCCACAAAGGGTGTGCTGAATGTCCTCTTGTGGTTTGTGATACTTTTTTTTTTAGCATTTTTGGAAGTCTTGTGAACAGTGCTGATGTTTTTTTCATCTCGGCTCCTACAAATATGAAAAGATGGGAGAATCTCACTTACAAAAAAAAAAAAAGCCAAACAAACAAAAAACCCTATTCTGAGTCCTTATTTAAAAAAATAAAATGCAGCTACTACTTAAAATTGCCTGAATTTTGAGCCAAGCTGAGTATTTTAAGGATCGGGAGGGGGGAGGTTGGCATGTGGCACTGGAACACTTGGATTTCAGAGCACAGCAGGGTCTGTGATGTGAAAGCTGCCTGAGTGCTAAAGGGCTCTTGTAGGTTGGAGTAGGTCTGAAGATGGCTTTAGCTGGCAGTGATGGCTCATGTCTTTCAGTCTGTTTGGGAAGTCTGTCCTTCTGGTTGTGGCACAGAGGACTTAGACCCAGCTCACGCAGAGCTGCTTCTGCAACGTGAAACAGTTCCAAGGGGTAAAGGTTCTCCTCTTGCACACAAAGCAGGAGTTGATGCAAAAATGGGCAAAAATGGGATGTAGCAGAAGTGTGAGGTTTTTTAGTTACTGATAATTTGCTCTGTTACATTGACCTTTTCCCTGACGGCATCACCGTACAGAGAATTTATATCATGGGAGGCAGAGGTGGTGCCAGCGGGATGCCCTGCTGGTGTTTTTGCAGGTGTGTGTGTGTGTGTGCTCAGAGCTTTTGCCCTGTCTGGCTGCAGTCTCTCCCCACCTATCCTGTGCTGTGAAAGTGCTGAGTTAGTTCCTGTTAGGACAAAAGGCTCTTATCAGAAACGTGGCTCAGCCCTGCTCGTGTCCGGTGTGGAGGGAACCAGGGGGTTGAATGAACACCTGCTGCTGCCAGGAGGCAGAATAAAAAACTAATAACATCTCCTGTCAGAATTAAAAAAAAATAATATAAAAATCTTGTTACATCTTTCATCTTTCCAGTCTGTGCACTTTCCTTCTCACAGACTACGTAACCTGAGACAGAAACACAGTGTAAAACTGCTCAGATGTAGCTGTTCCTGGGATGAAACACGTCAGACTCATGAGTTATTCACTGTGTATTCACTCAGCAACATAAACTGCAGGGGAATAAGGCCATGCTGAATTAATTGAATTACTTCAGAGATGAGTTTGGTCCACTAATTCCATATCGACTTTGGGCTTTAAATAGCATTAAGGACCCACGTTAAAACTCAATTAAAACTCAGGACCGCAGTTAGAACAGGGTAAGGTCACATCTGTGCGTGGGGTGGAATAATGTAACTGGTTCCCTTGACATGGGTCTGTATCTCACATAATCGGCGCAAAATTGAATCTCGGTTTAATCAGATCATTTACTGTCCCTTCTGTGAGGAAGAACAAGGTGAAATTAATGAAGCCTGAGGAGGTCTCTGTAGTCTGCATGGATACAGGGACCAGCTAATTGAACTCCTGCTCCCTTGGGAAATACTTGAGAATGATGCAAGTAGATGGTTGAAATGGCTCGTGCTGTCTAGGGCAGCCCCCACAATCTGCAGCAGGTATTTTCATACTTCTATTTTTCCAACTTTCTTTCCACTGCACAGTGACTCATGAGTAACCTCCTCATAGAGTCATAGTACACCTAGTGCTGTTACCAGGCATAGTGGTTCCTCTAAACACATGGACTTACTTTTTTAATCAAATCATTATTACCGTAATTAGTAGGGCTTGAAAGGTGCCATTAAGGCAGAGCTTTCTGTGTGATACTGATTGTTAGGTGGGATAGCAGCTGATAGGGGTTGGGATTAATTACTAGAGGGAGCGGGATGAGCATGAGAAGCGCCTGTGTTTTAGAGCATATCTTTATAGGCAAACCTTTGTGTGCTTCAGTTGGATTGGCATCCCGCTTTGGTTGTACTTAAAGGTCTCCTCTCCCTATTCAGATTGTGTTTTATGAGAACATCTCATCCTTAGGTGTTCAAAGGCTAAATCGGCAGCAAGAATAGATAAATCCTACAGGCAGTGTTGTGGAAATGACTAGTAACTTAAAAAACAAACGTCGTAGATGTAGGTGGGAAGTAAGATGATAAAAGAGCTGTCTCTGAATAGGCGTTAGATGAATTTTTCTCCCACAGGCTTTGGTGCCTTTTAAACCCAGGAGTTCATGATACTGTTTTTCTTACTCACTGAATTGCTCTGTCCCAGTGGGGATATGACAAGCGCAGAAAACATGTTCTTTTTTGAAGACTCTGGATGGCTGTGGTCATTTGGCTTCTCCTGATGCTACCATTCCACGTTGCCTGGGACGTGCTGATGGCCAGTGATCCCTGGCAGTAGCTTTGGCCCTTCTTGTTCCTCTTTGCATCCTTGCAGTGAGAATTATTTGTAGCTTTCAAGAGCGTAGCGTGGAGGGGGCACACTCTGTTCCTTTTTCCCCTTGTACCTCTTTGGGACCAGTTGCTCTTTCATTTTTGTTTTATTGGCTTCTTAAACGGCTGCCAGCTGGATATAGGTGAGTGGGGGTGTTCAGCCCTGCAGTCTGCAGAGAACAAGCATCAGTATGGAGCCATTTAGTCCTGGCAA